AGTAGTGCACACGAAGCATCAATCGAGCAAACATTCCCCGAGGACCTCTTGCTGTTTAAAACAATTGCACGAGCTAATGATCAGTCTGGATGTGAAATCGCCGACCCAGAAGTTACGGTCTCCATTTGTCGACTGCCCATACAATCGCTAAACACCCTTTTTCTACTGTGGAATACTTCTGTTCTGTCGGCGTAAGGACACGGCTGGCATACCTCACCACTCTGCCAGACTGCTTCAAGACCGCACCTATACCGTGATCCCTCGCATGAGTGGTCACTGTAAATAGCTTCTCGGGTTCCGACAGTCTCAGCGTCATTTGGCGGTCATCTAACAGTTCTTTGATTCGGTCGAAAGTTTGTTGAGCGGTCTCTGTCCAAGTGAACTTCGCATTGCTTAGCACTTTATATAGAGGTGCTGCTATATCGTTGAAGTTCTTCACGAATCTGCTGTAGAACGCCGCTCTTCCCAGGAACTGTCCTCACTTCCTTTTTGAGTTGGGAACTGCAATATTGTTTATCGTAAGAATTATAAATGGATTTCTACCGTAGCAGTTCAAATGGTTTCCAATAAGTGCAATCTGAACGCGTATCTCCCGGTCCAATATTAAAAACACAACAATTCTAGGAGAAAACGGTCTATATTAATTAAAAGATGGAAATACAAAGCAATACCTGAAGTTGATGCACTTTTCAGGTCACAATTACTCCGAAAAGTATCCAAGGCAAAGGTAATAAGTCCAACCGCCACCGTATCAATCCAAATATGGCTGTGGCCATAATAAAGATCAAATTTAAACAACATATACAGTTCAGAAGCAAACATAAATTCTTCAATATATGTACAAAATATAGAAATAATAACAATATACAATGATAAAATCTCAACTTGGAATCAAATAAAATACCAAAGATGTCAACAGAAAAAGTCCGTCATGTCATAACAAAGATATGTAAACATGGAGGGATTTTCCAAAAAACAAAACTTTCAAAAAGGATTCTACACCGGCCCGCAAAATCCCTCCATGCAAAAAAGCAAGCGTTAATGACACTTCAATTGAGGGTTCCCACTCATCCCCGTCACGGTTTTACTCTAGTGATTTGTTGCATGATAACCACTCATATTGCTGCACAAATCATACAAGCACAAGGTGCCTTCTGGATAAACGCAGATTTAGCATAGGCTAAAGTTAAATGTTTTTAATACTTTAAAAACTCAGTATCGTCTTTCAGTTCCGCTTTCCTTAATCGGAAGCCTGCATGACTACTGATTTTTGACATTACTATACTTACTAAAATTTTATCTTCTGCTTGGTCGTTATGTCCTCTAGAATATTACGTAAACTAAAGAAGGATTCCAATAATTTGGTTGATGACAATCATGACTGTAGTTATGATGATGATCCAATTACCTCAGGTTCTATTTTCTCCGAATTTACTAATTGTCTTTCCTCACAGTTGATAACTGTCCCTTCCTCTGATGACGACGTTCACGGTCAATCTGAAACTTCAAAGTCAAAAAAGCGGAAAAGGAAAAAAACCAAGAAACACAAAAAGACTGAAACAATCGACCAAATGGATAATATTAACCTTTCAAATGACCCAGAAATTGCTGATCCAAATAAACAAGTGGTAGATTTGTTTAATGTAAATATCAAGATGTTGGACCATGTTGGAGAACTTAGTCGTTTGTTTGGATCAGAAGTTATCGGTGGGTCTAAAACATCTTTACCAAGAAAACGAAGTCGCATCAAACATGGTATTCTTGTGTCGATTAAGTCCACTTGGCCACCTACCATTCGCATTGGTTTGAGTATGGAATCTCTAGGTTGTGGTTCGTATACTTTTGTACACAGTAAAGAGTATCAAAATATCCAGAAGTCATTTATTCATGCTTTAGAATCCATGAATCCAAATAATTTGAGTGGTATATTGTATGAAAATCCTTACCACATAGAAACTTTACTACAGTTGAGCCAAATAATGAGCTTATGATCCGTCTCGATGTGAAATCGCCGACTCAGAAGTTACGGTCTCCAATTGTCGACTGCCCATACAATCGCTAAACACCCTTTTTCTACTGTGGAATACTTCTGTTCTGTCGGCGTAAGGACACGGCTGGCATACCTCACCACTCTGCCAGACTGCTTCAAGACCGCACCTATACCGTGATCCCTCGCATGAGTGGTCACTGTAAATAGCTTCTCGGGTTCCGACAGTCTCAGCGTCATTTGGCGGTCATCTAACAGTTCTTTGATTCGGTCGAAAGTTTGTTGAGCGGTCTCTGTCCAAGTGAACTTCGCATTGCTTAGCACTTTATATAGAGGTGCTGCTATATCGTTGAAGTTCTTCACGAATCTGCTGTAGAACGCCGCTCTTCCCAGGAACTGTCCTCACTTCCTTTTTGAGTTGGGAACTGCAATATTGTTTATCGTAAGAATTATAAATGGATTTCTACCGTAGCAGTTCAAATGGTTTCCAATAAGTGCAATCTGAACGCGTATCTCCCGGTCCAATATTAAAAACACAACAATTCTAGGAGAAAACGGTCTATATTAATTAAAAGATGGAAATACAAAGCAATACCTGAAGTTGATGCACTTTTCAGGTCACAATTACTCCGAAAAGTATCCAAGGCAAAGGTAATAAGTCCAACCGCCACCGTATCAATCCAAATATGGCTGTGGCCATAATAAAGATCAAGTTTAAACAACATATACAGTTCAGAAGCAAACATAAATTCTTCAATATATGTACAAAATATAGAAATAATAACAATATACAATGATAAAATCTCAACTTGGAATCAAATAAAATACCAAAGATGTCAACAGAAAAAGTCCGTCATGTCATAACAAAGATATGTAAACATGGAGGGATTTTCCAAAAAACAAAACTTTCAAAAAGGATTCTACACCGGCCCGCAAAATCCCTCCATGCAAAAAAGCAAGCGTTAATGACACTTCAATTGAGGGTTCCCACTCATCCCCGTCACGGTTTTACTCTAGTGATTTGTTGCATGATAACCACTCATATTGCTGCACAAATCATACAAGCACAAGGTGCCTTCTGGATAAACGCAGATTTAGCATAGGCTAAAGTTAAATGTTTTTAATACTTTAAAAACTCAGTATCGTCTTTCAGTTCCGCTTTCCTTAATCGGAAGCCTGCATGACTACTGATTTTTGACATTACTATACTTACTAAAATTTTATCTTCTGCTTGGTCGTTATGTCCTCTAGAATATTACGTAAACTAAAGAAGGATTCCAATAATTTGGTTGATGACAATCATGACTGTAGTTATGATGATGATCCAATTACCTCAGGTTCTATTTTCTCCGAATTTACTAATTGTCTTTCCTCACAGTTGATAACTGTCCCTTCCTCTGATGACGACGTTCACGGTCAATCTGAAACTTCAAAGTCAAAAAAGCGGAAAAGGAAAAAAACCAAGAAACACAAAAAGACTGAAACAATCGACCAAATGGATAATATTAACCTTTCAAATGACCCAGAAATTGCTGATCCAAATAAACAAGTGGTAGATTTGTTTAATGTAAATATCAAGATGTTGGACCATGTTGGAGAACTTAGTCGTTTGTTTGGATCAGAAGTTATCGGTGGGTCTAAAACATCTTTACCAAGAAAACGAAGTCGCATCAAACATGGTATTCTTGTGTCGATTAAGTCCACTTGGCCACCTACCATTCGCATTGGTTTGAGTATGGAATCTCTAGGTTGTGGTTCGTATACTTTTGTACACAGTAAAGAGTATCAAAATATCCAGAAGTCATTTATTCATGCTTTAGAATCCATGAATCCAAATAATTTGAGTGGTATATTGTATGAAAATCCTTACCACATAGAAACTTTACTACAGTTGAGCCAAATAATGAGCTTATGATCCGTCTCGATGTGAAATCGCCGACTCAGAAGTTACGGTCTCCAATTGTCGACTGCCCATACAATCGCTAAACACCCTTTTTCTACTGTGGAATACTTCTGTTCTGTCGGCGTAAGGACACGGCTGGCATACCTCACCACTCTGCCAGACTGCTTCAAGACCGCACCTATACCGTGATCCCTCGCATGAGTGGTCACTGTAAATAGCTTCTCGGGTTCCGACAGTCTCAGCGTCATTTGGCGGTCATCTAACAGTTCTTTGATTCGGTCGAAAGTTTGTTGAGCGGTCTCTGTCCAAGTGAACTTCGCATTGCTTAGCACTTTATATAGAGGTGCTGCTATATCGTTGAAGTTCTTCACGAATCTGCTGTAGAACGCCGCTCTTCCCAGGAACTGTCCTCACTTCCTTTTTGAGTTGGGAACTGCAATATTGTTTATCGTAAGAATTATAAATGGATTTCTACCGTAGCAGTTCAAATGGTTTCCAATAAGTGCAATCTGAACGCGTATCTCCCGGTCCAATATTAAAAACACAACAATTCTAGGAGAAAACGGTCTATATTAATTAAAAGATGGAAATACAAAGCAATACCTGAAGTTGATGCACTTTTCAGGTCACAATTACTCCGAAAAGTATCCAAGGCAAAGGTAATAAGTCCAACCGCCACCGTATCAATCCAAATATGGCTGTGGCCATAATAAAGATCAAGTTTAAACAACATATACAGTTCAGAAGCAAACATAAATTCTTCAATATATGTACAAAATATAGAAATAATAACAATATACAATGATAAAATCTCAACTTGGAATCAAATAAAATACCAAAGATGTCAACAGAAAAAGTCCGTCATGTCATAACAAAGATATGTAAACATGGAGGGATTTTCCAAAAAACAAAACATTCAAAAAGGATTCTACACCGGCCCGCAAAATCCCTCCATGCAAAAAAGCAAGCGTTAATGACACTTCAATTGAGGGTTCCCACTCATCCCCGTCACGGTTTTACTCTAGTGATTTGTTGCATGATAACCACTCATATTGCTGCACAAATCATACAAGCACAAGGTGCCTTCTGGATAAACGCAGATTTAGCATAGGCTAAAGTTAAATGTTTTTAATACTTTAAAAACTCAGTATCGTCTTTCAGTTCCGCTTTCCTTAATCGGAAGCCTGCATGACTACTGATTTTTGACATTACTATACTTACTAAAATTTTATCTTCTGCTTGGTCGTTATGTCCTCTAGAATATTACGTAAACTAAAGAAGGATTCCAATAATTTGGTTGATGACAATCATGACTGTAGTTATGATGATGATCCAATTACCTCAGGTTCTATTTTCTCCGAATTTACTAATTGTCTTTCCTCACAGTTGATAACTGTCCCTTCCTCTGATGACGACGTTCACGGTCAATCTGAAACTTCAAAGTCAAAAAAGCGGAAAAGGAAAAAAACCAAGAAACACAAAAAGACTGAAACAATCGACCAAATGGATAATATTAACCTTTCAAATGACCCAGAAATTGCTGATCCAAATAAACAAGTGGTAGATTTGTTTAATGTAAATATCAAGATGTTGGACCATGTTGGAGAACTTAGTCGTTTGTTTGGATCAGAAGTTATCGGTGGGTCTAAAACATCTTTACCAAGAAAACGAAGTCGCATCAAACATGGTATTCTTGTGTCGATTAAGTCCACTTGGCCACCTACCATTCGCATTGGTTTGAGTATGGAATCTCTAGGTTGTGGTTCGTATACTTTTGTACACAGTAAAGAGTATCAAAATATCCAGAAGTCATTTATTCATGCTTTAGAATCCATGAATCCAAATAATTTGAGTGGTATATTGTATGAAAATCCTTACCACATAGAAACTTTACTACAGTTGAGCCAAATAATGAGCTTATGATCCGTCTCGATGTGAAATCGCCGACTCAGAAGTTACGGTCTCCAATTGTCGACTGCCCATACAATCGCTAAACACCCTTTTTCTACTGTGGAATACTTCTGTTCTGTCGGCGTAAGGACACGGCTGGCATACCTCACCACTCTGCCAGACTGCTTCAAGACCGCACCTATACCGTGATCCCTCGCATGAGTGGTCACTGTAAATAGCTTCTCGGGTTCCGACAGTCTCAGCGTCATTTGGCGGTCATCTAACAGTTCTTTGATTCGGTCGAAAGTTTGTTGAGCGGTCTCTGTCCAAGTGAACTTCGCATTGCTTAGCACTTTATATAGAGGTGCTGCTATATCGTTGAAGTTCTTCACGAATCTGCTGTAGAACGCCGCTCTTCCCAGGAACTGTCCTCACTTCCTTTTTAATTTGGGAACTGCTCCGAAAATTATCCAAGGGAAAGGTAATAAGTCCAACCGCCACCGTTTCTATCCAAATATTGCTGTGGCCATAATGAAGATCAAATTTAAACAACATATACAGTTCAGAAGCAAACATAAATTCTTCAATATATGTACAAAATATAGAAATAATAACAATATACAATGATAAAATCTCAACTTGGAATCAAATAAAATACCAAAGATGTCAACAGAAAAAGTCCGTCATGTCATAACAAAGATATGTAAACATGGAGGGATTTTCACATAAAACAAAACAGTCAAAAAGTATTCTACAAGAATCTATCCGGCGGTGTTTGAATTTTTCCTACTCTTACTTAATGCCACAGTTATTTGACGCTTCTTTTCGCTATCTGCGACTTGTCTTAATTAATTTGTAAACCCATCAATTCGCTTTAGGTCCACCTTCACTTGACTCACATGTTCTGCCTCTGTACGACTTTATACGACTAAATCATCGCCATAAACCTTGACATTCTCCAGGTTTCTGAACAGTGATGTCATTAGTCTTCAAAACGTAAACGTTGCGCCCGCCAATCCAAAGGGCATTCGTTTAAATTGATTCTGCCTTTCCCGTACGATCATTGCCGTTTTGCTGCGATCACTGTCTTTAATTAGTAGCTGCTGATAGCCCGACCGTAAATCTAACACTGTGAACAGCGTAGCACTCTGTAGACGATCTAATGTCTCCGCTATTATTGGCATTGCACATGGTTCATTTCTGTCACGTTATTCTGTTCTCTAAAGTAAACACAGAATGTATACTTTCCGTTTGGCTTCTTTATCAAAAGTACCGATGAGGTGTACGGGCTATCTGCTTCTTCAATTACACCTGATTTAACCATATCCTGTACCTGCTGGTTTATCTCAGCTTCCAAATGTATGGGAACTCGTCGTGTTCTGAAGATGGTTACTTCTTCGTTCTTTATCGGAATTTCATGTTTGACTTTATTACAAAACCCGTACGGTTCTCCGTCTCCTGTGAACCACTTCGTATATTTCGTGAGCACCTCGTTAATGTCCTCTTTTGCTACTCCAACCTCAGCCACCTCGCTGCTTTCATGTATTGTCAGTGTGCCGTACTTTGTAATCACCTCCTCATCCAAATTCGGCAGACCTCGGGGCAGCAATCTTGTCAACTCCACGGCCAGCACGAGTGGGTCGCCATCCACCGACAGTCTCGCCTCTCGGAACTTCTGCAGCGCGTCCTGCCTATCCGCCGGGCTTTCGAACTCCACCAGCAGCCTTTCCGTCACCACCTCCCAGTTAGCGTCCTCCACACTGTCGTACACCGCTCTCGCCCTGCCTCTTAGTATAGTCCTCAGCACCACCGCCTTCGCCCTCCGTTCCTTGACTCCGACCAGCTCTGCCACGGCCTCAAATTTCTCCAAGAAGCTCCTTACATCTCTGTCTTCAAACTCACGAGGCCATGGTATCTTCATCCTGTGTAGAGGCAGCGACAACAATTGAGAAGACTGAGGCAGGCTCGATAGATTGTATTTGGCAAATTTACACTCTGAGTCAATTAAAAAAGAAAACATCACATTTAACACTCTATTTGCACACCATCTTTCAGTCCAACGATCCAGCCTTCTTCCATTCCTGCTGTTCCTTCCTTTACTTCCTGTCGATGCTCAATTTATTTCTGTTTTTGCTATATTTGCTTCCCGTTTTCCTCTTCTGACCGTGAGACTTCTTCTTTCACGTCCATTCTTATACTACTTATATCGTTCGTATAAGGAGCACACACCACAATAGAAGTGGTAATGTTCCGTAATTAAAGATAGTTCGTCGAGTATTTGATGTGTGTGACTGCAGATAATATGTGTTTTAGCCCTCATGCAATATTCCAATATGCACTTTGAAACGCGAAATGTGTGAATAAAGTCTATTTGATAGGGTGCGGCAGTGAGTGCTCTGCTGTGAATAAAGTGAACGGGAAATGGAAGCAGTGTGTTCGCCTGATATATTAAAGTACACACACTGAAAGAAAATATAGAACGATTCCAATGTGAATGTACAAGATGTGAAAATTAACACAATAAATACAAATAGTATCAAAAACTGTTTAAAAAATTAGTTTAATTTGTTGTGACGTCATCGAAACCTGCCTCAAATATAAAGTTGATTGAAAATGCACAAGGTTGTGCAACTGTGACTGTATCTTCTCCGGTCTCCTGTCAGTTGTATGACGATGAGAAAAAAGTGTTTGATGGCAATAGCCAGTCTACAGTGTTGCATGATAACGATGCTATTGATGTGCATATGTCTTGTATCTCTGAAACAACAAGTGAGTTTATCGGTTTTGGATTGCGATACTAATGCTGTTCTTTCATGTAGCGAGATGAGTTATACCACAATAGAAGTGTTTCACTCTACGGATGATAGTGCAGCCAGAAACGACGCGACTTCTCTGACAGAACGGAATCATGATAACGATGATAATAATCTGGATGCCACTGATGTGACAAATGAGTTGCCGACGATGACGAATGCTGATCAAACCTCCTCTGTATCAGGAGATGGAGAGATAGATATTGGTCCCATGTTATGCCAAATAAAGTCTTACGGAGACGAGGAAATATCAAAATTGGAGATCCCACCCTTGCATATTATCTACGAGTCAAGAACTACTGTTGATTATTCAGCATCACGGACTTCTTCGTATCTGCCGTCCGGAGCAAGTGGTGATGGATTGACGACTCATCCCCATGATGTGGAATGTAAATCCCGAATAGGATATGACCAGCTTTACTAAGTTTTATACATGTTCATGTGGGTTAATTGAAGTTAATACTACCGTTAGGTCATGCTACGATAGATAGGGGAATCAAAGACCTGATGTAAGGTACAGGTACATAGTTAGCTTGATAGGTCATATCCATGTTGGAGAGCGGGTAGGCGTACTGCTGTAAGTCCTACTCGTTCTTCCGGTGTGGATAAGGGGATGAGAGTGAACCCTAACTTGAAGTGACAGAAAGGGCTTGTTTTGCATTGAAGGACTTTGCGAACCGGTTTAGAATCTATATTGAACGTTTCTTGTTGATTACTTGTGATTCGCATACTTGGATTGGTGTTACCTATTTTTAGCGGTGGAAAGAACCAAGGCTCTCTTGGTCGGTAGTATTACTGGAGAAATGAAGACATTTGGCTGGTAAAACCTTTATATAAATATCAATAATTTCACTGTGTTTTTTGATTATATTTGTTTTACTTAACTTGTGAACTTGTTTGGTTTATTATTTTCAGACATTTTAATTTCTGTTTGTCTTGGTTTGGTATTTTGTAATTTTTGCTCCAGGAACCTATAAAATTGAAGGCTTTTGTAGTTATTATAATTATTGTTATTAGAACGACATTTCGGTCGACTATTTGTGAATTGCGAATAAACTTTGGTACCTAACTTTGAAGTTTGGTTCTGTTGTTAATTTGAGTTCGTGAATAGCAAATAGATCGACATACTGTACTTCAATAATGGGAAGGAGCAAAACGTGGACGTAACAGGATGAAACTGCCAAATCATGCACGGAGTACAACCGACAAACTCGTTTGAGGTTTGGACCAGTGTCAGGCAAGGTTGGATTATGAATACATCAGCATCTAGAGGAAAGCACGCTATTCAGTGAATAGCTAGGACACAGATGTACGATCTAAACTTCGCAGATGACCTTACACTACTATGTAGTATGCACAAGCAAAATCAAGATAAGACAACCATTGTAGCAGCAGCTTCACGAGCAGCAGGTCTCAACATACATGAGGTGAAAACCAAAATTCTTCCATGCAACAAACTATGAACCAATCAAATCGCTGCTGACGGAGATGCCTTCGAGGACGTTAAAATCTTTACATATCTTGGCAGCATCATCGAAAACCAAGCTGGATCCGATGCAGATGTGCGGAAGCGGATTGAAAAATCAAGGGCTGCATTTCTACTATTGAAAAATATCTGGAACTCCAAACAACACTCAATCGAAATCAAAGCAGGGTGTTCAATAAAAATATCAAGACAAATGTAATGTATGGAGCGGAAACCTGGATAACTACTAAAGCGACTACTCAGAAGATACAAGTATTTATCAAATGTTGTCTAGGGGAAAAATATGAATGTGGTGATTTAAAGATAGTAGCATGATTCTTATCTTAATACACAATGCAGGTCGTCCAACAGACATATTGTTGACTACATACCAGGATATATAACACCACGTTTTTACCGAGATATGTCAAAAAAATTTGCTGCCACAATATATCGCGCGTGATCATTTTCAGAGAAAAATAATTAATTTAAAAATCGATATTTCACAGACATTGCTTGGTTATGTGTGTGATATTCAATCACAGAAAAGCGAAAGCGAAAATTGATTGCCGTGGTTTGCTTCCAAATACACCTAAAAATTATGCTTTGTATTCCATAACAGAGAAAGTCGGACCTGTTACGAAGATCAAGCCTGTCACGTATTATGACATTCCTATTCTGAATAAGGAAGAATCTCATGATATAAATCGCTTGTAAGATTATTAATTATTCACAATGATGAAGCTAGATTTCCA